GATCAAATCTTTTTAGTCCGCCAGTAAATCTCGGTGATGACCGAATGGTACGGTAAGGTCAGTGAAAGGAGGCTACGCGGAACCCACAAAACTCAATTACTCGTTGACTCAAACTCCTCGTGGCATATTCTCTCGCCTTTGGGGCGAGCTTCTCCCTCTCCCTCTCTAGAAAACTCTTGAGCGGTGAGAGCTTACCTTTCCTCGCTTTTGGGCGAGCGACCGTTACGGCGTCCCCTTCCTCGGCCTTCTCCGTCGGAGAAGGGGACGTCCGTCTCTTATTTGTTTTTGTGTGTTAATAGGTTTTTATTGGTGGTGTGTTCTGTTTCTTCGGCTATTATCAGATCTGTGTTTTTTGCTTGCGGCACCTTCATCTTTGATGTTAGGATGAAAGGTATTAGTTCTAACCTAGACTTGATGGCTTGGATTTGCGTTTTGGGGGGAAGGTTTCAGTCGACGATCGTCCCTACTTCAGTTGCCAAATACTCTATGACAGTCGTTGGTGTTGGTCGGCAGTGGCAGATCCAAGACATTGATGAAGGGTACGAGTTTCATCAAATGGTGCTGCACGGTGGGTTGCCAAAGTTGAGTTATCTTCCTCCTTTGGTGTCGTTCTTTGCTGCTGGTGACTGTGGGTGTTCTAGCTTCTATGGGTTTCTCATGATTGCTTTTCAACCATCTTTGGTTGTTCTTTGGCCTACAAAAAGGATGGGTCCTTCGGGATGGGTTTTTCAAACCACCACCCTTTACTTTGGCATCATTGCCGATGACGGCGTTTTCCTCTCTGCAGTTTCCGGCGACAAGACGGTGGGGCTCTCTGGTGAACTTGACGGCGGCTGCTCCTTTTGGTTTATCTTGCTGTTAGGTTTAGAATTTGTGCTGTCTATGTTGGGCTTTTAATTTGCTGTCCCTCTTGTTGGGCTTTTTTATTTCCCTTGTTTCTTTGTTTCTTTTTTATGAATTATATTTTCTCTGGCCAAAAAAAAAAAAAAAAACTCCTCGTGGCATAAGTATCTCGGTTCTCCTCACGAGCTGCCTCCGTTCCCTAGTACTCCGCTAATAATAAATAGATTAAAAAGAAGGAAAATAGCAAAAAAAAAACCATCAAAATAAAAAAAAATTGTATACATGGATCGGTTTGTAAGAATTGTTGTCAAAATTCAGACTAAGGCTGTGTTTGGGTGACACCCCAAACTATGGTTTGGGAAATAAATCACCCAAACACTCATCCAAAAACCAAAATCATGGTTTTGGAAAAAACAAAATTTTTTTGCTTTTGGAGAAAAAAGGGAGAGTGTGAGAACCTATAGGATATGTATCTTGTTATTTTTTTTATAAACATATTTAATCTTATATTTTATAAATATATATACATATCAATTATTTATTAATTATATTATCTTATGTATTATTAATTATGTTAATAAAAAATATATTATTAACAATTTTATTCCTTCAAATTAAAATATATCATAAAATCTATTTTTTCTGTAATTATCATATTAACTTATGTCTTTTTTTTTAGTAATTTGTATATATAAAAAGTGCTTCTGATAACAACTATCCAAACACTCTCACTTCTCAAATCACTTTTTCATAAAATCTATTCTTCCCATAATTTATTCTCCAGAATCACTTTTCTAAACCACGGTTTAATTTTATACAAACACACCCTTAATATTGTTAAGGGTCCTTATTTGTAATTTTCTATTTAAAACTTATAAATAGGATTAGAGGGAGTTTAAAAGTTAGTTGATTAATTTAAATAGATTAAAGAATTTTGTTAAATTATTTATTTATAATAAATAAATATTATCTTTCCTAAAATACTCTTACTAATCATGTGTATTAATTAGAACCATCATTTAATAGAATTTTAATTTATATAGTTACTATAGGGACTACTTAAAAAAATTAGATAAATATAAAAGATAAAATAAATTTGAGTTTTATTTTTAAAATTAAATTAAAAATCAAACTAATTTTTATATTAAGGGACATATTTTTCTTCCTAAGATTGGGACGAGAGAAGTGCTAAATCGGTAACAGAGAGGAGAAATACAATGGGAATGGGTAGGGAATTTGAATGGAAGCAGTGTTACTCTTATGATATGAGGAAGGGGGAGAAAGCAGCAAGGAGAAATCCGTGGGCGCGTGTGAATCATAGTGTTGTGTTGGAGAGTTTTTTTAATTTTTCACTTTAAGAAAAATTCAAATATGACTTCCTTATCTAAAATCACCAGTTCCTCAGGTTAAGAAAATTATTTTTCTGGTCTTAATATAATATCTTTAAACATACTAATATAAGGATCTTATGACCGGAAAAATAGAACCGTTTTGTAGTCATTTAACTCTCGTGGACTGAAAATTAAAACCTGACTCATCCTGCGGGTTAAACAAGATAATCCATTTAACTCACCATTAAAAAAATTAAAAAATAACACACACAGTCTTAGATACATACATATATACATGTATCTATATTTTAATATTAAACGTTATAATGTTTATCACCAGATTAAAAAAATAAAAAGTAAAATATTCGAATACCTCGAGTCATTCCAGTGTTTTAAAATTTAACGTTTTGAATTTTGTCTTCTAAATGTAGTCTCACCGTCAAAACCATCTTTTTATAATGGAGCTTTTTAAAAAAATATTACTTAATTAGTAATCTACACGATTAAAAGAATAACAAGTAAATTAAGAATAATTAAAAAACACATGTAATAATAAATTATCAACATCATAAGAAGTTGAACATTATTAAAATGAGAGAACTTTTATACTTATTGAAAAGGAGCCAAACAGTAAGATATCTTATCTAATCTATTAAGGGCTTGTTTAAAATGAATATTGAAACTTTTAAAGCTTAAAATCACTTGTAAACAAATTTTATGTAAATCAAAAAAAAATTTATATATTTACCTTATATTTTGTAAATTATGATTAAAAAACTGTTTATAAACAATCTCAAACAATCCCAGACATAACTTTTTAATCCTGATGTGTAATATATAAAATAAATATATATGAGAAGTTTTGTATTGACATGTTTGAATGAACTTATAATAAGCAGCATCAAACAAATACTAATGTTATACTAGCTTTTAATATTAGTGATAAAAAAATAGGTGATATAATGCTTTGAGTATTTGGTTTCTTTTTCCGGTCAAAAAAAGTACTCATCCGGTCCTTATTATAAGACCCAATTTGACTTTTTATTTGGTCCTAATTATAAGACCCAATTCATTTTCTCTCTTATATTTATGTATTTTTTTCCAAGATAATCCTTCTAATAATGATAGTTTTAGCCAATATATTTAATTAGCAAGGATATTTTAGGAATAACAACACTTATTTATTATAAATAACCAACTTAACTTACTTCCTTAATCTCCTCAAATAAGTCAATTGAGTCTTATAATTAGGACCGGAGGAGTATTTGGTTTCTTTTCATTTTGATTTTAATTTTTATAATTTCAAATAACGTGTCTTGATTTTTAAATTTCTCTTCATTTGATCCTTTTATTTTAATAAAAATTTGAATTTTTTTTTCCAGGGACAGAACCTATCCTCGAAAACTATAGAATTAAAATCAAGATTAGGACTCTTATGAAAAAAAAATCAAAATCAGGACTAATTATAAAAAGAGAAAATCCCAATTAAATCTGATTGAAATATTAAAATCTAAAAAATTAATATAAACTTTGGTCCTTCAAGTTTAATTCTCGTTTCAATTTTAGTTTCTCAAGTTTTAAATAACAGGTTTTGGTTCCATAAGTTTCTTTTTATTTAAAATATTAATCCTTATAATCTAATAAAAACTCGTATCATTTTGTTTTTAGAGAGATCAAAACCTATGATTGCAAATTTGAGGGACCAAAACTAAAATTAAGTCTTGTACTTTTAACAGATCCTTAGTTAGGCTAAGAGGTCTTATTAGAGATTTTTTAATGCTGTTAAAAGACTAAAATGTCCCATTAAGTTAGCCAATTGGTAATTGTTTCAATCAATTCATGATCTAACTTCTTTTTTCTTAAAATGCCACCAGATGATATGTCGGTTTTATGCATTCTTGCTTCATATGTTGTTAAAAAACTAAAATGTTTGACTTTTTTTTGTGTAAATTTATATTAAGCAATCCATACCACTTCATCCATTCCATGAAATATTGGAAAAATTATTTAGACATCTAATACAAGTTCATATTAGTTATTAGTATCAATCTTACTAATTAGATTAAAAAAAATATAACGTGATAAGAACGTCTATATGGTAGATATAATAAAACACTTAAGAAAGAAATGATAAATTTGATGCTGAAATATACTAATATATTAAGATTGGATTTTTTACCTATAAGGAAAAAAAATTTCCTTCAAGAAATTATCAATTTAATTGTGCTAAAACCAGGTAATTAAAACATTCCCGTTCCCATTACGAAAAAAAAGTCTATGTTCCCATAAATTTTTTATCAATATATTAGAGGTAGCATAAAATATTATATTATGTATTGTCAATTCTGGATATTAATATTTTCAAACATCGATTAATTGTGATAAATTTATCATCATCACCGCTCCCAATATCTCAATTAATGAGATAATATATAATTTGGATTTTCTTATGTAAAACATTTTTTTTATAAATACACACTATATAATGTCAAGTTTTTATGATTTAATTTTTTATTTTTTTGGCCAGTAATTTTTTGTTTTCAAAATAATATTATTTTAAATTATAAAAAGCTATTTTAGTCTTTTAATAATATTTTAAAAAATTAATAAGACCTCTCAACCTAATTAAAAATTTGTTCAAAATATAAAATTTACATTAAATTTTAATATTTCAAACGGATTCAATTAGCACTTTTCTTTACATAAATCAGTGCGATACGAATCTTTAAAATATCAATAAACTAAGTAATACTAGTAATAAGCAGGTACGATTTAATCATTTACCCAACACCAATGGCGGAGGAAGCATGGGGGAAGGAGGACCCCCATAATCATGTTTTTGGGCAGTATTTTCCAGAGTTGCAGAACACAGGACAGTAAAAACAAAGAAGCCAGTTTGGATTAGGGCACAAATAATTGAGGAAACAGTGAACACTGATCCATGAAAGCGAGGTCTACCCCCCATTAGATGCTCGTACCGTCCGATAAGATCTTTTCAAACCCCCCCAAAGCAGGTTCCCTGGCTACCTACTAGACCTCTAGCCATTGACAGACTTAGCCTGAACCAGCGAGAACAACATTATTCTCCCCTAGAATTAAATATGCTTTCCTTTTCATTCTCTCTTTCTTTAATGTCTAAACAGAGCAGCCTGCAGAGAAAAGCACACATGGCTCTTTCTTCTTCAGACCCAATAACCTTCGCACGTCCACTTTGTTTGGTTTCGGGAATTGGTAGCCGAAGAGAGAAATTCTTGCGTCTGTGAACACTGGAATGAATCAACAGTTTCGTTCATTGGGTGCGAGCTAACAGAGTTTGGCTTTTGCAGAGGAGAGCAGAGGAAGTCCATTTTGTGGTGATGGGAGAACACAAATGACTAATTGACGATTCGGTCACCAGAAAGTAAGGGCTGGGATTGAAGAAGGAGGTCGGGGAGAAGCAGATAGATAAAAGAGAAACACATCACGAGAGTATCTGACATGTTTAGACGCTGAGGTATCGTTCTTTTTGAGGACACGTCGCTCCAGAGAGTAATGGGAGACAGACGGAGATAGAGATTTCACCATACAATGCTATGGGCTGTTCCTTTTCTTTTCATCTTTGGAGGCACAGCCTTTTACTGAGTTCCCCATTGGACGGCTTCGTGTTTTCGGAGGGTTTCACTTTACTTCCCCTTTTCATCCCAACCTTTTAATTCCCTTTCTCTCGAGAATCTAAACTCATTCCAGCAAGGTCTCTCTCTCTCTCTCTCATAATTGTACCATAATCAATTCATATTTTCCATTGTTTGCTGGCCACCAAGTGATTATCTTTCACTTAACTAGCTGGCTTGTCATGATCCAATGGGCATGTCTTTTGTCATGTAATGCAGATCTTTTCACGAGGTGTTGACAGAGTCTTTCCGTTTCTTTTCTTCCTATTTTTTCATCGTTTCGTACGAAGACAAAACCAAAAAGAAGGAAAAAGAAAATGGGAAATTCTCCTTTGAGGGTTTAAATTGTTAACTCGCCGGTTTTCACCACGTTCCGGGAAATTGGAAAGACGCCTAAATTGTGAACTGCAAGCTGCGAGGCTCTTTCGCTTTGTCTAAAAGCCGTGATTGGGTTTTTGTAGGTTCCACTATTTCTTCAGGACCCTGTACTCTCTATCTGCTGCTGAGCAAATGGGAAGAGCCGCCCGGTGGTTGAAGAGCTTGTTTGGGATAAAGAAAGACAGAAACCATGTTTCAGAGGGAGAACTTAGAGACTTATGTCACAATCCAACCACCATACCACCAAACATCTCGCCTGCAGAAGCTGCTTGGCTTCAGTCGTTCTACACAGAAACAGATAAACAGCAGAACAAGCACGCCATTGCGGTGGCCGCGGCCACCGCAGCCGCCGCTGATGCCGCCGTAGCAGCCGCTCAGGCTGCAGTGGCCGTCGTTAGGCTTACCAGCCATGGCAGAGGCACCATGTTCGGCAGTGGTGGACACGAGATATGGGCTGCCGTTAAGATTCAAACAGTATTTAGGGGTTACTTGGTAAGTATGTTCGTTTAATTGTTTATCTCTTCTCAAATGGAACCAGTTCTTCAGATCAGAAACTTAAAAACGCATTTTCACTTCTAAACAGGCAAGAAAAGCACTGAGAGCTTTGAAAGGATTGGTGAAATTACAAGCACTCGTGAAAGGCTATTTAGTGAGGAAGCAGGCCACGGCAACCTTGCATAGTATGCAAGCTCTTATAAGAGCTCAAGCCACTGTGAGGTCTCAGAAAGCTCGCAGGCTCATGAACAGAGACAATGAAGCCTACAGATATGAAGCTCGAGCCCGAAGATCCATGGTAACTGCGTCTAGATTCTGTAAACCTATGATTATTATTTGTAGTACTAGTCTGTAAAATTTGGTATGAAATGGTGGCGTGAAATCTTATGCAGGAGAGATTTGACGACACTAGGAGTGAGTACACAGCACCCATTCACAGCAGAAGGATGTCTTCTTCTTTTGATGCAACAATAAATAACTCTAACAGCTTCGACGGAAGCCCAAAAATATTGGAAGTGGACACTGGTAGGCCAAGATCGAAGTCTCGGAGGACCAACACTTCAATTTCAGATTTTGGCGATGACCAACAATTCCAGGCACTTTCCTCTCCTCTTCCAGCCCCTTGTTGTCGTACCCCAGTACGCCTATCGATACCGAACTGTCGCCGGAATCTGCAGGACACCGATTGGGGGTTGACGGCGGAAGAATGCAGGTCGTCTACGGCACAGAGCACACCTCGGTTCACCAATTCTTGTGGGTCGTTTAGTTGCAATGCGGCGGCGTGCGGGAGCGTTTGTGCCGGCGATGGCTTTTACCGACAATACGGGAATTGCCCGAATTACATGGCGAATACTCAGTCATTCAGGGCGAAATTGAGGTCCCACAGTGCTCCAAAGCAGAGGCCAGAGCCGAAGAGGAGGGTATCGTTGAACGAATTGATGGAGTGTAGGAGTAGTTTGAGCGGGGTTCGAATGCAGAGATCTTGCTCGCAGGTTCAGGAAGCCATTAGCTTCAAGAATGCAGTGATGGGTAAGCTCGAAAAGTCTGCAGAATTTGGGAGGGAAAGGGATAGCAATTACTGGCAGAGGAGGTGATGATGGTGGCCCTATCTTTGTTTTCACATTGAAGGCAATTTGCAGACAGGGAACAGAGCATTGGAGGATGAAGACAAAACGGGAGAAAGATATAGCATCAAAGTGTAAAATTTGACGAATTTTCTTGTGTTGTGAATGGGATAAAGTGAAATGGAGTGTCTGGTGTCGTGAATGCTTCTTTCCTTAGTTTCAATCAAACCCTCAATTATTTGTAGCTTATGGAAAAATTTATTGGAAGAAGATATTTGCTAAGTGAAAATACTATGGGAAGAAGGGTCTGAATGTTACAGATAAATGACTCAAACGCTTGAAAGAATCCATTTTGTTGTATGGGGCGTAAACAAAAGGCGTTTTGTGCGTTTCCCAAAACAGAACAGAAGCTGATATCATCATTATTATGTACTAATTTGATACAGATCAAGAATTTCTGAAGAATTACTTTGGCTGAGAGAAGGAAAAGAAAAAAGAGGACGAGAATCAAGACACAAAAATAATGGTTCAGAACTCAGTGATACACTACTTGTGTTGTATAAAGTGACAACAAAAAAGCTTATTATGTAACCCCGGAAAGTCATGCTGTTATCATTATGGCTTAGAGTTCGTGGGCTGCGGTGTCAATTCGGAGCCCAATCATTGAGAACATGAGTTGTGTCCTGAGTTTGCTCCAGGCTTGAGTTTCATGAATTTCGGGAAGCTTTAAAGGCTAGGGGGAAAACTAAGACTTCAGTATTTTGTGTTGTGAGCCATGTGAAGACAAAGTTATATATTGAAGTTTATTTTTAAAGATCCAGGTTACAAAGTTAAATGACGATGGTGATGATACTTTCAAAAATAAATAACTTCAATTATTGAGAAAAATATAATAACTGTTATTTAAAATATATTTTCATAAAAAAGATACCATTTAAAACCATATAGCGTTTAATTTCTTGTGTATTACCAGAGATGTCTAGATTAATAAGAATACTAGTCCCTCAGAAAGCTTCTTGATACCCATATTCTTCTTCGCCACCTTAGTCTCTGAAGGTTGCGAGTCATCATCCATCACAAAGTGCCATCAGGTTTGTCGCATGGCTTGAATCTAAGAACAGAGCATCTTGGGCAGCCAAACAGACCCATCAACTTTGAATAAGCATGAAGAAGTAAGTACAAGGATGAGGTCTATTATGGCATCGCCATAAACAACAATTCGGTTGTGAACTAGTTAAATATATAAAACAAAAGGATAGCTCATAGCAGCATTTGGAAATCTAGGGGGAGCAGCATTTATAAGTAGTAGGCTGTACTGTCACCATCAGCATCAGCAAAGGAACAGGTTTGTATAATAAGTTTCAATTCAGGAAACCAACAAAGGTTCTGGTGTATATGAACTGTTTTTCACTGATAAAGACAAGATTTCAGTCTAAGCACATAATATTATTATTAGACTAACAGATGACAAGTTGTATGCATTCAATAATAGTGTAATGTGTAGTGGAAGGGGAAGTACTGAACAAAGATGAGGAAGACAACTTGAGAGTGACGTATAGGATAATGCATGTTTCGTCATATAGGAACAAAAGCTCCCTCGGTTGGTCTATAGGATCCTGCGAGAGAATATGGGCCCAACGTCCGCCACTTTTAAGTCCATATTGCAAAAGATTGATCCACTTTTGTATCTAAACCAGGCTCACGAGTCCATGTTCTTATTTTAGCATGCTTTTTTTGATTAAGCTGTTTGTTGGTACTGTTCACAAATTGTTTATATTTGTAATAAATAAGCCTGTGAAGTGACTAAAATATGCTCTATTCTTATATCATTTGAATCCCACATTCATGTGCTGACATAGTTACCAAAAAAATTACTCTTCCGGTCCTAAATATAAGATCCCTTTTGTAGTATAATTTACATAACAAAAATAGTCTTATATTTAGGACCGGAGGAATACCTTGTTTATTCATTTCTCTCCGTAACTTTATGTTCTGAATTTCATGATAATATATAAAGAAAGACATATTGAATTAAAGAAGGGTTGGATAGTTCTCATTCGTTTGAATATTTCATACTTCACATAGACTCCCTTTTTTTTAGAATTATCTGATTAAATGTGAAAAAAAGAATCCTTGAAACGATTATGAATCACACCAAATACAGTTTCTTGGCTTCTGAGATTAAAGAAGTTCAAGGGGCAGTATTTTCAGTATGGTAATGAGACAGAGATTGGGAACTGAGAAAGCCAAAATGAAATTGTGATACATTTATATTTATTTATACATAGAAGGAAAAAATGGTCACACAAGAAGAAATCAAACTCTGCAGAGAAAAGCAATAAAATATTAATAATTAAAAAAAAAAGAGTCAGTATGTGATGAAGTTCTACAATTTGATCCATTCAGAGCCGTCAATGAAGCTAAGTGAAATAAAAGGCTTAGCTTCCTCATCCGTGAGCTCTCTTGACCAAGATACTCTGCCTGCAAATCTGGCTCCTGGTCCCGTGCATTTGTATTGTCCATAAAACACAGTCCTGTGCACTCATAACACAAACATCGCAATCAAACAAAACTCATCCACTTGCATTACCTAACATCTAATTATAGCAATTAACAAATCTAATCAATGGGATTAGGTGGCTAAGTCTCTTCTCAAACCCATCTTGCTCATGCCCTTATCTGTGTGTCAATTACATGATATTCTTTCCCTTTTTAGATTACCAATGTAGGTTTAAATGCACGTCAGTTTGTAACGAGATTTAGCTCACTTAAAGACTGTATATGGGAGAATTTTACCCGTCAATATAAAATTTATATTAGTTTGCATTATTTATAAATTGAGAGACATCCACGGACTCAATGTTTGGTATCCAACTGGGGAGATAGAAACAAAACTAAAGCTCGATAATAGAAGTATTAAAAGAGAGGATACATTGGACTCTAAACCTATTTCTTTTCATCTTCTTACGAATTTTCAAACTTTAAAATAACCAAACTCAGACACAATCCCCTTCTTCCTCCCTGGTTTTCTCTCTAAAATCAGAACAAAGTGGGGAAAGAGAGAGGGGAAGGAAAGGAACTTACATTTCCCGGTTAGGGTCACCCCAGTTGTACCAGCCTTTGGGAATGATGATATTGTCCATATTGGTGTAAGCAAAGACCACGCGAGAGAAGGGACCCCATGCCCTACCTAGGTACAGTGCCCCAGAACCCGTGACCTTACAGTGCACAAACGAAAACCCTGTGTCCTCCAAAATACTGTTCCTTCCCTGTGCTGTTAACGCCCCTATGTTCTGCGCTATTGCATGCACGTGACACCTCTGTAAAACAACACAACATCCTTGAATCATTTTACTACAACATTGTCAATGCAAAACCAACGATGATCTTATTCTTACTGACCTCGAACAGAGACAGGGCGTCCCCGAATATGAATCTACTGAGCCTTCGATGTAGCAGTCTTTATAGTAATGTCTTCCCACATGATCATACAATGTGTCTTGTGCTCCTAAGAATTTACACCCCAGGAATCGTCGCTGTGTCTGCTGATATTCTTAATGCCACTGCTTGCTTTCCTACTGCTCCTGGTGCTGGAATTGGGGCAGAATTCTGCATTCACAAGGTTACAATTACTAGAAACAGAGGAAGATTATAGGATGATATTTGAGATGAGGAAAACAGGGTATTGATTTAATACTTTGAATGTGATGTTCTTGGCGATGAAATAAGTGCATTCACAGCAAATGTTGCTGATCCATAGGTTCCCATTGGCTTCCCGTCTGATCCTTTTGTTTGTGCTGTGTCTCCCCATTGAACTATGGTTTTGTCAGCTCCAGCACCTTGTATGGTTATGAAGGATTTCATAGGAGGAATGTTCACTTTCTCCCTGAAAAAGAAATGGGAAAAAAGGAATGAACTTTCTATCGTAAAATGGGAAACGAAAGGAAAACAAAGAATGCAGGATTGATACTGACGTGTAACCCCTGCGTGGACCTTTATCACGACTCTCACAAGTTGAGGAATGGAAGAGAATCGATTGCGCGTTGAATTGTCGAAAATTGTCCCGAAGAAGGCTTTTTGGAGACATGCAGGGTGTGAGAGGGAAAAAGCTTGTTTTTGGCTATCCCGAAAACAGAGTGTCTGAGGCCACCAACAAACTTTATCCACTTCATGAATTGCTGTTCTGAGAATTGGATTCGGGTCATGTTGGTCGTCGATGATGTCACAGTAGAACGCTTTGGGGCCGCAATCCCTTTGTATGGCATAGAGTCGTAGTCGGATTTTGCATCAGAAGAAGAACAAGAAGTAGCAAAAAATTGAAACCATAATGCAGATTTGACATTCTCACGAGCATGTGAGAAAGAAAATGATGTTGCTTGGAAGCTGGGTGATAATAAACTGATAACAGTGTTAGGCCTGCGCCAGGGTTTTATATACACAGGTTGGTTGGTACTTGAGGGTGCAATAGAATCAATGACAGACTCA